AGATTACTTCTCTTCCACATCCCCCCACACCCCCTCTCACTAGCCGCGGTTGCACGTTATAATGCGGCCTTAGCCGCTTACCGTTTACTTGGATTCATTAAAAAAATCAGCCAGTTAAAAATTGATATACGATCCTGTGGATGTAAGAATTTCAGTCTCAAAGTTGTAAGCGTCAGGTCTGATAGGGAGGGTCCGGACCCCCTGGCCCCTCCCCCTGGATCCGCCACTGTAGTAACGCAACAAAAAATGTCCTCAGTAGGGTGGTCCCGTCATAAGTCCAGTCTCACTGGAGGGCGTATTACAGACTCAAACGTTTGTCTCTTGACTTGCCTGCTAATATCAAGAATGTAACCGTTTCTTTAATTTTGTGCTATGATTCATGCGTTTTGACCATCGCCATTCCGATCTTGACCCAATTTTAACCCGTTGTTTCTCGGTGCTACTTAATGTTTTTTCGGAGTACCTTAGTAGTTCAACATTCGCACTCGATACACAGTAGAATTTTCTCCTTTTTCGATTTTTGTCTTAGCCACAAGCGCATTATAAGTATGACAAGATTACTTGGTTTTATCAGTTGAGTCGATAATATAACTGCCATGGTAACGAAATTTCTGAAACTGACGTTTCGAGCGCTAACCCGTAGTAATTCGCTCTGACGAAGGGCTAACATTCGAAATGTCAGCTTTACGGTGGCCAGTGTACATTATCAACTCAATCGATAAAACCAATTTATCTCGTAGTAGTTGTGGTAGTACCGCGTGGTAGTATCGTGATAGTACCACGTGATAGTTGTGGTAGTATCTCGTGTAGTTGTGGTAGTACCGCCACGGACACAGCCCCATAGTTTCTTTGTCATTATTTAGGAAATACAAGCGATCAGCTTTGAACTCTTGTGCAATTATTTTCCTCTTGGAACAGGACAAACACTAGTCTCCCTCGCAGCCGTTTTTTTTTGGATGTCACGCAACGTTGCGTGACATCCAAAAAAAACGGCTGCGAGGGAGACTAGACAAACACGAGATTATTGTAGTTGTAAGGGAGTCATTTAAGTTGTCTTTCTTCACGGGCTCGATATTAAAATTTGATCGACAACTGTTCGGAAAAGAATCATAAAACGGTCAAAATCGTTTGAGGTTGTAAAGTCCAAGGTGGCGATAGTCTGAAAATAATTAATAGTCCCCAATGTTCTTCTTTTGGAGAGGTGAAGTGCCAAAAAAATTACAGCCATCTAAAGCTTTTAAAAGTACAATAGCTATGTATATATTCCACCAGAATGTTAGTGAAGACTTCCCATGAGACTTTTCAAGAGTTTCTTTTCAGACCGTCATTAACTTAATTTTTCTTTAATTTGAGCCTGTAAGATAATATTTAACGAAACGAGAAATGAAAGCTTTAACTTTTAATGAACACCAATCCAATGCGTAGTGATGGTATATGAAACAGAATTCCTATTACGGTTCTTCCAAAATTTCAGCTGTTTTCACAATAAGCACAAATAGAAAATAGCGCTCAGAGATATTGGATGTACTGTATGCAAAATATTCGTTGACAAATTTTGACGGGTAAGAAATAGGGAACGACTGATTGCATGGTACAAAGACAATACGAAATCGAAAAGTTTCGATGATTTTATATTGTGCAATTGTGTTATGGTAGAACACCGATTTCTCGACCTCACGTGTAATGTTTCTGACAGCTGTTAATCAGAGTTCGGAATGCCCAACCGGTCAAAAGAAAAAGAGTCTTCTGTAGTCGGATATCGTCTTGCATGTTGATTAAATATCGTTGTGTTTGCATCCACTGAAAGTATCAGTGTTTATTTAATCGTAAACACTACACCACGGTGTCTCGAAACTTTCAATGTTGTAGAAAAGGAAAGAATAACTCCTCTAGATTTCCACAAGACTTTATTCTTGATGATCCCCGTACAAATTCAAGACTTTCCGCCCTAGTTTCCAACAGATTTCCTACTGAACTTTCCTTCATTTATTGAGTTACTTTTTCTTCGAGTCTACCACAACATGTGCGAAGTATAAAATCCCAGGTCAAATGTCAATCAAGTATCGTGTTCCGATTGGATAACTAGACAACAGTGCACATCACGTGCAACTGAGTAACGAAATCTATTTTCAACAAATGTCAACCATAACTTGGCCACCGTAACGATTACAAAAGGTGACGT